GAATGCACAATATCTGTTTCCTTTATCCACTTATTACTATTCACATTTAATGCAAAGGAATACAAGCAACAAGGATAACCAGAGACTTTTCCCTCTGTAACAATCAAAATAACTGAAGAGAATTTCATTACATGAGATAAAGGGAATCACCAGGGCAAAACCGTGCATTACAAGAACCAGCACTGCATTTGTATAAATCATTTATACAATTCCTTTCAGTCTTTGGATAGATACCTGCTTTATTCTAATTTGTGTAATCATAGTTATTGACTGAGTGTTGCCACTGTAAGATCTATATTCTCTGATTGCAAGTTAAATAAACATCAACCCCTGGCTTTGGTCCCAAGCCTGGGGTTGATGTTTATTATTTGTTCAATTGTTTTTGCTGTCTATTAGATTATTTTCATCTAGGCTGTCTGTTTGATTTAATGTTTTAGCCGCTTTTATGTTCTCCCTCATTTTGTATGCTGCCCAGAGTCCAATAGAATTGGGCAGCTAATAAATTTAAATAATAATAAATGCAATTTAAGTACAGGTAGTCCTTGACTTACAACAGTTCATTTAGTGACCATTACAACAGCACTGGAAAAGTGACTTATGACCACTTTTCACACTTATGACCATTGCAGCATCCCCATGGTCACGTGATTTATATTTGGATGCTTCCCTACTGACTCACATTTATGATGGTTGATGTGTCCTGGTCATGTGGTCATCTTTTGTGACTTTCTGCCAAACAAAGTCAAGCCAGATTCACTTAACAACCGTGTTACTAATTTAACAATTGCAGTGATTCACTTAACAAATGTGGCAAGAAAAGCCGTAAAATGGGGCAAAACTCACTTAACAAATTTCTCATTAAGCAACATCAATTCTGCGGTCGTAAGTTGAGGATTACCTGTATTGTGGAGAGTGACTACAAGGCAAGCAAGAAAATTTTGCAGGATGGAGAAGAATGGCCATGAAGGATATATTTAAGGAGAGGCAAGCTAAGGGTTCATCACCCATTTCCAGCGTCACCTCTATCCAAACGTTAATTTCAATGTTATCAGATGTGCTAAACATCATGGGAAATCAAGAATGACGCTGCCCTGGACAAAAAGACAAAGCAGTTTGTCATTCCAGGATTTATTAGAAGTGAGAGAATGAAAGTCTCAGCTGGTGGAGCTTTAATGAAAACCAGCAAAAGGAGATTTTACCTAACCAGGGAAAAGTGAAGTGTCTGGCAACATTTCTATCCCATCTGCCTCCCACCAAATAAAATGAATTCAACAACTGAAAAGAGCAAGTTTTATCTCAAGGCCAAAGAGGAATTCTTTAAATAACAGCTGTTGAAGGTGGGACTCAGATGTCCAGAGAGGATTTGAGCTCTAGTAATCTTATGGACAAACTATTTGAAAGAAGAATTAGCTACACTTTCCTTCAGAGTCTCTCCTTTGTCTTGTTGTTCCTGACTAGGCTTCCCTTTCCCTGTGTAAACACTCAAGATTTTTATTGGGGTTTTGATTAACAAAGAATCTCAGTCCCTTGGAATTATTCCTTTTCTGGCACTCATTACTTTTAAACCCACTTTAGACATTGGGATGTTTATTCAGTTCTGTTGCAAAAGTTCTGAGAAGATGATAGATAGATAGATAGATAGATAGATAGATAGATAGATAGATAGATAGATAGATAGATAGATAGATAGATAGGCAGGCAGGCAGGCAGGCAGGCAGGCAGGCAGGCAGGCAGGCAGATGATAGATACAACTACGTATGCCTTTTTATAAAATATATTAGTCAGAAAAGGTGCATCTTAACTGTCTTTAAACATCTGGCATGCTTGCATTTAAAATCTTGCGGCAGTCTTCATCTGGATAATGTCTATGAATCCTATGCCAATATACAGCCTAGTTAGTCCTAATGCAGTTCTGCTCAGACCAGTTGCAATTTGCCCAAAAGCTCATTAAATAACTAGAGAAGGCCCTTGACTTCCATCTAATTTGCTTCTAGCACAGATGGTCAGGCAGGAATGGACTCAGTTATAAGTTCTTGGATTTAGGCAAATGGTTCATCAGACAAGATGGAAACATCGCTTGTGCTCTGTTGCATCAAAACAACATTCTAATTTGGAGCATTTAGCATCCTTTTGCAGAATATGGCATGATGGAATCTTTACAGCAATCAAACAGAACATCTGTTATTTTATAGATTAGATTGGTGATTTAAGAGGATAATTTGGGAGCATTGACCAGTAGGGATAAAGAGGGACTAAACACAATCACTTGGGTTATTAAAGAAGAATAGACATTTGCTATTTATTTTTGTATTAGGGTTTATGGTCATCCATTAAAAAAAAAATGGCATTTTAAGTTGAATTTAGCTTTGTAGATGCTGGCATTTATCAGCTTCAGCCTGCAAAGGAAATTAAAGAAGATTGGACAAAACAGGAAGGCATCAGCAAAATGTTCAAACTAAAAGAATATATCATTACAGATAGTCCTTAACTTATGACCATAATTGGGCCTAGAATTACAGTCCTAAGTTGTAAGTTGCAGTTGTAAGTCAAGTCACCCATGTGACTGGAAGGAATTTTCTAGCGTTTTTCGTGGCAATCGTTAAGTTAGCCCATTAATTTAATTGGAGTTTTTGCCAAATAGCAGTAAAAAATATTGCAAATTGATGTTATATGGGTGTGGAACCCCAGAACTGGTTGTAAAACCTGACCCACCTGACTTGTGGTCATGTAACCATGTGTGTGTGTGTGTGACCATTTACAATGGTTGGGAGTGGACCATAAAGCACCCAACTTGTGGCCTTCCTGATTTTGAATGGCCCAAAGATGCTTTTCAAACAGGTAACTGGACTTTGTTTTTCTTTGAAGATGTTTCATTTCTCATCCAAGAAGCTTCTTCGGTTTATGACCAGAATTTAAATCCTTCCATCCTCCACCATTCAGTCAGAATTGAAGAAGCTTATCGGATGAGAAATGAAATGTCTTCAAGGAAAAACGAAGTCCAGCTGCCTTTTGAAAAAGCAACTTCGGAACAACCACGATCTGGATGACTGAGAATCTCCATAGACTAATTTCAAATGGTTGCAAAACAACCAATCATTAGGCAAGGACACTATCTACATGACTTTTGATAAAGATTTGCCCTGAAATATTTGGTGCTACTTCATGTTTCTTGGTGTTAATATATTTCAAGAAGCATACTTGAGGAAAAACATCCCCCCAAAACTAAACCCAACAATTTGCCTGTTCTTTAAGACTCTGACTCCCACAGCCTGGAATGAGTTTACAAGGGCAGCAAAAAACTTTAAATCTGATTGTGAAAACCTGAAAGGGAGCTACTGTTTAAAGAATCAGAGGAAGCAGCTTCCTGAGAGATGCTAAGACAAAGAGTGGCTAGAGGTCAAGGGAAGCAATAAAAGAGCAATGAAGTCTGTTTTGGAAAGAGCTCAGAGAAGCAGAGAGGTGGGGGATGGCTAGTTACCAGGAGTCTGAACAAATAATTCTGCCTCACTGAACCCCAAGGAGCAAGGCTATTATTACAAATGAATCTGTTCTAAATGAAGCTTAAGTAAGTCTAATCAGACAATCTCTGATCTTTATCTTTCTCACTTCCTTCTGTCTTGCCACCAGAGCCTGGGTTTCAGTGTTGGCAAGAGCTTTACAGGGAATGTTCTTTTAGCTTCATTCAATCCTGCCAGGTCTCAGATTAATGATTGGGGTGTTTGCAGCAAGTGGCACCTCACATCTTTTGCTTGAGCTGTGTTACATGTTTGGAAAGAAGGCATGCGTCTGGATATGATTTTTAAAGGGAAAAAAACAAATGCACAATTATGGGGTTCACAGACAGACCTGTTTTGTTCACAGACAAAATATGGTTGGTCTGGTTTGTGAACCCTGATGCTGTATTTTGTGAATTGGGATTTATGGCTAGCTCTTCCAAGTGAACCATTGTGGTTTATTCAGGAAAAAAATGTGATCTATATTAATGGATCAATAGATCTAATGTTCCTGAACATGATGCTGGATGTAATTGTGACTATAAATACTGAAATTCTAAAAGGTTGAGTAGAAATGCCCTGGTTGTTTGGATCCCTAACATTCATGCTAATGTCTCTGAGGCTGTCCTTGTGTCATAAACCAGGGCCTCAGTCCCTTATTCCCCAAGCAATTGTAGAAACCTTTAAAACAAAAAATAACCATGGGTCATCAAGCTTTTATCCACTGATTTACCTTATGAAGAAATGACATTAGTGCAAATGTATAGGTGTCATGTTTCAAGATATCTAGCAATAATTTAATATTCCAGTACCACATCATGAAGAAGTGTGACCTACGAATGGTCAGTAGGCTGAGAGACACTCAAATAAATTTCTGGAAGAGAACAATTGAACTCAAGTTGCTGCAGACAACCAAGTTCACCTAGTGCAGCAGCTAATAAAGCAAAATAAATAAAACACACCATTCTATATTTGTTATTTCTACAGGAAACTTGGTTAAAACTTTCCTCATTTTTCAAAACAATACCTGCATGATGTTGAAAACTCTTTAATTATGGAGTCCTTGGTGTTCTCTGAGCTTGGTTGCTTGCTGAAGATGTTACCTGGTTGGGTAGCGAAATATCTGCAAGCAAACAGTCAAGCTTGGAGAGCACCAAGGACTCCACAGTGCAACCTTCAGCTGCAGATATTCTCTTCTATTGGTACTCTTTAATTATTAATCCAGGGCATCCATAGTATCTTGTGGATGTCCTGGGTTCTACCCAGTAAAATTAGCTGACTCTTAGTTCCAGAAGACAATGATAATTAATTCCTGCCTTTGCAAGTAGAGACATATTGCACTGGTTGGTTATAACGTGTGGCTTCTGGTGGGTTTTGAAAATTATAGTTGCCATGGCAACTTCAGGTGTGCTGACTAGGCTGAACTGCTTCTTTCATCAGATCTCTCTTCCCTTCTTAGTTCTCCTCTTTCAAGGAGAAAGGGGTATATTACTAAGACTTGCATAGCTCAGCTCAGCTCAGATAAATGGTGCAAAATTCGTCAGAAAAACCTGGTGACACTTAAAGACTAGCTTAAATCTGCTCCATTTTGGAAGGCTCCAAGGAATTACTTTTAGGTTTTATCCAAAGCTTTATGCTGAGGATGAAGCCACACTTAGCCTTAGGTTTCCTTTTGATGGGTAGTTTTGGGGAAAGCTGGGAGATCCTACAACAATTTTGAAAACACAGATTTATTGGGGCTCCCATCCACCCCCACAACTTTGAAAACAAATATTTCTGATGCCAAGTTTCATTGTGACCATTGGAAATAGGATGCAAAATCCAATGGATGGTCAAATTATCCACTCAGTTAACATAATATGGAACCACTGAATATGTCAGAGCAGATGTAAAAATAACAGAAAGAGGAAAAACCAACCCATCCGTCCACTCCAATACAGAGAAAGTGAAAAACAGTCTTGCCTGAGTTAATTCTAACATTTTGCATATTAGGATAGCCATCCCTTTTAGACCTTGCATTATTGTAACACGCAGCCTGTTGCAGTAGAGTACTGTGAAAAAGACATAAACATTCAAATAAACAACAGGAAATATACAGTTGTCGTTTGTCTCCTGCACACCTTGACAAAGAGGAATGGCTTTGTTCCAGTGGTGGTAACCCTGGGGGTGTCTTGAACATGTTGAAAAGCTGTGGCCAACAAGGCGGTAGCCGGTGTCACAACCGAACCAAATGGTGCTTCCTGGCTGCAGGCCGGAGTGGCTGAGGATGGAGCCATGGAGAGGTGATGGAGGGAGGCTGCAATAAGGAGCTACACAAGTGGAAGGAAAACATAAATATGCATATACTCAGAAGCATAGAATATCATGCAATTATATGTGAAGAGAAATGGCTTTGTTCAACTCCATTCCTTACAAAGTTCAGCCGTAGACCTTTGGCGCAGTATCTCCATGCCACTGAGATTTAATGCTATGCCTTTGGTAACAAACCAGACCCAAAGACACAGCTCACATTCATACATTAAAGCAGTGTTCCGCTTCTTGCACAACCTCAAGATGTATGGGACTACAGCTCTCATGGTTTCCCAGTAGGCACAGAAGATTCTGACAGCTGAAGTTTATACTTGTATGAAGCATGGAAGGTAATAATAGTATTAATAATAATTTCATATAGAATAATTAGAGCCCAGTGTCTAAGACATGTTATTTAAGGCCTTCAGACCTCAGCTGGGACCAAATACTGCACTGTATAGTGTCACTGTTCAGAGACATTGTGGCTTCTGTTCTCAAAAAACCTGCCTTCTCAAATTCACTTTGAGGAAAACTTTCCACTGGTTTGTTATCCTTACTTCTATGTTTCCAAGTCATGCTGAGTTTTCTCCCAATAGTTGATTTATGTTATTTATAGACCCAACCTGTCTTTTTCATTTTTTGCTACTTACCAACACAGCCTCCTTCAACTTGGTGCTCTCCGGATGGGTTGGGTTACAGTTCCCAGAATTCTCTGCTACCATGGCTGTTGGTTAGCTGGGAATTATTGTAGTTGTGGTGCCAGCACATTTGGAGGGCACCAGATTGTAGGAAGCTGCCTTAAAACATGGTATAAATTAATAGAGCTAAACAGAAGCATTTGTACAACCAGGGTTGACTTCTTAATGGTATTTTAACTGTGGGTCTCTAACTTTTGTCCAACATAGATTTTCCCTGCCTCCCCCACTTTTCAGTTTAGACATACACATGCATACTCTCATACCTTTATGATCCAGTAAAATTATATAATGAAAGTCATCATTTCAGTCATAAATGTAGCACACATTACTGGTAATAATATCATTAGGTGATATATGGCCTTACCAATACTGCAGGCTATGGGATGCTGATTATATTGAACCAAGTCAATCAAAGTTGTGAAAAGAGATTAGAGTGAAGTTAGGGACTTAAAATGGTATTTTGATAGAAGTTTCTGGAGAAGACGAAGTCATAGAATTGTGAGGTTCACCCCTGACATTTCTCCTTCACTTCAAATTACCCCAATGTTCTCCAGTTTCTACGAATGTCCACTATTGCCTCCATAAAATATCCATTGCTCTGATTTCACTTCCTTCCAAACAGTTCCCCTCAGCAGTTGTTCTGATGATCTTTAATCAGATCCTCAAATAAGTTTCTTTAGAATTATTCATCCTTAGCAACACTTTACTTGGCTAATCTCATGAAGTACATGAGATCTCCTCAGTACATGGATGGAAAAACCACCAGGAAATTCCAGAACTAAGGGCTAAATTGAAAAGTTCAAAAAGCATTATAGAAAGAGATCTCATATCACTTCCATACTGTTCCCAAAGAACTACATAGTTGAGTTTGACTTAAAAGAATTTCAGTTTAAATGTGGCAGAGGCAAAGTTAACTCACTTCCTTTTTTTAACCCAGAAAGTTGAAAGTTATGGTGAGCAAGCCTAAAATTTTAATTTAAGGAGAAAAAATAACCAGAACAGTGGAAAACATTTTCAATATATTGATATGCTCTCAAGTCAATAGGACTTCTCCCAGAGATTAGAAGAAATTATACTGCCAACATGCATCTTTGGAGGTTAGAAACATCATTAGGGGTTCATGTTAGATTCACCTTCCTGGTATGACTCAAAGAAAGGACAGAAGGAGATTGTTAGATTCCCCTTACCCAATTGTTTTGCCTAATTGTTAAACTAAGAATTTAAATGCTTTGATATTGGTATACTTTGTTCATCCTCAAAGTTAGAAATATTCAATTTGAAGCACTCCAGATATTGTAGAACTACAAATCCCCAGAATCTTTCACCATAAGTCATGCTTCTTATCGATACTGATAGTTGCAGTACAGCAACTTTTGGGATAGCTCTCATCTAACTCTGCTGTGAGTCAAAACCAAAACATCAATTTTACCCTTATATTATCACATTTAAAACCCAAATCTATAAACTTTCTGATTCTTTCTCTATATTTCTCAATCTTTTGGCTTTCTAACCCTTCAGAGTGCAAATAATTTGGGACTCTGAAAAGCAAACCGGAATTATAAAGCAAGCCACAAAAATCTCAGTGGAATAAAGTTGCTCTTGTTCGCTCAGTAAAATAATCAAAACATAATTTCTTCCAATTAAATATTAGTTCATTCATTTACAGAATAACACCATTAATGTATTTATGACACATTTAGGCATGTCCCTGCCTCAATTTTGATTGCTTTTCATTAAGTAATTAAAAAAATTACTTTATTCCAAGAATGGCTTGTTTAATTTTGAGGAACTCTTTGCCAAACCTTTCATAATTGCTTTGATAAAGGTGGACTAATTAAAGTTCATATGAAATCAGGACCAGGATAAAACATCCACCATGAAAATGTTAATGGTGAAATGATTGCTGTTTCTCTTCTGGGAAATTCAGAAGAACTATTACAGGTTCTTCTTTCTTGTACTACCATACAAAGGTAGCAAATGCAAAAGAAGTGAAAAACAGATTCAGATGCTGTTCTGTGTCTGTTTATGAAATTTTCCATAGCAGCTCCTTCTTTGAGGCCAGGTGTGACCCCAAAAATGATAAAGACAAATCCTTTTTCTGAGGACAATGGGACAGGAAGGTCCTAATTTTTATTAACAGTATTTAAGAAGTCTATTGATTGTGAACGTTTTATTGCACTTAAAAAAAATAATATAGTAAAATATATAAAAAACAGAAAGATAGAAAATAAGTAGAGAACAGAAAGAAATAAACAAATCATATATGTACATCTTCCACATTTTTCCTATTGAGTAATTATCATCTATTTTTTTTTCTCTTTCTTCCATTTAAACCCAATTTGAGAATATTTCTTCTTTCTGAAAAATGTTTCCAGTCATTCAAAAAAAAAAATAAAAAAAAAAAATCTTATGGTTCTTTTATTGCAATTTTAGGGATTAAGTTTAGTTTAGTTTTTGGAAGCCACCCCAAGTCTCACAAATGTGCAGGATCCATGGGGATGTAAGAAAAAATGTAATTCACATTTTTAAAAATGTATTTTAGTGGGATTTTTTGTGGCAATGGTTGGGAAATATATATGAGTAATAAGAAGCAAAGGTCAACTTTTCCCATTTCCTCCACTTTAATTTTTTTTATAGATGTAGAGCAGCATTTCTCAACCTTAGCAATACTAAGATCAGTGGTGGTATTCAGCCGGTTCGCACCGGATCGTGCGAACCGGTAGCAAGAATTTAGCATGGGTCGCCGAACCAGTAGTAAGTTCTGGTTGGCCATGCCGGTTGCCCTCCTGCCCGACGCTTGCTTACCCCGGCCGCCTGACATTTGCCTAAGGTATTTCTTTTTTTCCCTCCCGACAATCAGCTGTACATTGATCAGGTGTGCCGGGATTCCCCTTGCTGAGGCCCAGGAAGGCAAAAAATGGAGGGAGGAGTTCAGCCTCCCCCTTCATTTTTTGCCTTCCAGAGCCCCAGAGGAGCAAAAACGCCCCCTCCCCGAGGCTCTTCTGAGGCTAGGAAGCTCAAAAACGGATGGGGGCTGCAAAAAAGCAAAAAAAAAAAAAAAAGCCACACCCACCTAGTCACATGGCCACACCCACCAAACCACGCCCACAGAACTGGTAGTAAAAATTTTTGAATCCCACCACTGGTATGGTACTGGTACTTCACAGTTATGTCATCTCTATATGACCATGAAAGAAGGGTTCCCAGTTATAAACCAACATTGTACTTTAGATGGATCAAAATAATTTCCTATGACAATGGCAATGTCTCTCAGCAGAGTACTTGTCTAGAAATTAGTTATGTAAGCAGTGATTATTTCCTGAATAACAATAACCTCAATTTAGCCATATTGAAATAAACCACATTATTTCTCATTCAGCAATTCTCACTTTAAGAAAGTATAATCCACAGCGCAAAAAGTTTTATGGTGAACTGAAAAGCTGGATTGTAGTGTTTATAAAATGAAACAATTGCAAACAAAATTAGTTGACTTGCAATAAATAACGGCTTTTGGTTTTACGCACCATAGTATTACTTTGAGATTAGCATGATGTATTCTTTCTCAATACAGCTATAATTAATAATAAATACCCTTTGCTAAATTAATTACTACAAAAAGTGCAAGCCGTAACCCTGGATGCGATTCAATTTACAGCACAATTTGGTTCATGTTTATTCAGTAGCAAATTGCATTAATCCAAGACTTCAGACTCAGTGACCGAAAGTGGGGGGTGAAAGGAAAGAATTAATTAAACAGCAAAAGCAAAGCCAACAAAATAAAAAAAAAATCCCAAACAGGCCAGGTAACTTTTCTATGGGAAAAATAATGAGATACATTTCTAGTTTTAGAATACCAGAAAAAATGTAAGTCAAGAAGGAACATTTTCTTATCAGCTTACCCCTGCTTTATGCAACGATGATCAGACTTCTTTTGCACTCCCTACTCACCAGAATATCGGATCCGGAAACCCTTTCTGCTGTAGGCATGATCAGAGGACCAGTGGAGATAGGCTCTGTTTCCTGAAGTGGTCACCAGCAGTGGTGCAGAGTAATTTCCACTTAGAGACAGTAACAGTGAACTTTGACCTGAAGGCCCTTTAGAAACATCAGAAAAGGAGAGCATGAGCCCATGAAAAGCCTTAATTTACTTTACTTTACTTTATGGTCATTGCACCTCATACAATAAAATCAAATGCCATCTTCAGTGTACATTATAACTATAAAACACAAATATACATCCTTCACCCAGGGCTCGGATTCTACCAGTTCGCACCTATTCGCTAGAACCAGTTGTTAACATTCTAAGCAGTTTGGAGAACCAGTTGTTAGAAGAAATTACAGGGCTAATCCTGTAAGGAAGGCAGGAAGGAAACATTCTGGTGTTGCTTACAGAAACTGCCTCTCTGTTAACCCTTATTACATTCTTGGCAGGACTAGACTTTCTGTCTCTGGAACATCTCTGGAGTTTTTTCCCCCGTTGCTTGTGTGGAATGACCATTCAAAATTACAATGGCACTGAAAAAAGTGACATGACCATTTTTCACATTTACGACTGTTGCAGCATCCCCACAGTCACGAGAGGCCAGGCGAGGAGATGCGTGCCTTGATGTGAGTGATGTTCAGTTGGCCACATCGAGGCAGTAACATGACCACCAAGCCATGTCCACCCAGTCACATGACCACCAAGCATGCCCACCAATTAAGCCATGCCCACAGAACTGGTTGTTAAAAAATTTGAATCACACCCCTGCCTTCACCTTCTATACAATTGAACTGAAAACCTCTGATATTGCATTAATATTGCACATGGGATGTATTGTATAATTGGTTAAATAATAGATGCAGAGATTAGTATTTAATAATGAATGAAGATTAACAAAATAGAAATAAATACAGATATATTGAAATATGTAAGAATAAACAATGTAAGCAATACCACAATGGGAGTGTATGCGAATATAGTTTAAAATGCACAGAATAAATGTAATAGTGTATTATGATATAAATAAGAAAATAATAGTTATAATCATGATGTATAACAGTATGTAATCAAAAGAGATTATACTGTATGATAGTCACAATCAGGATATATACTATGATGTAAAAAAAGAGAGGACTTGATATAACCAGTACGCTGACGTTGTAAAATTGGAACTGTGATGAATAATAATGAAAAATGTACAATAAAAATATTTTTTAAAAAAGAAATGTGAGAATCTATTTATTTCTTCTTAGTTGTTTATTTCCTGTTCTTATAACTCATACTTTTGGGGTGAACTCAGAAGCATCAGTAGAATCTCCTCTTATTTAATCTCTGCAACAAGAACTCTGGTAAGAAAGGTTGGGATAAGAAAGACTAACTCAAGATAATTACATCAATTGTATATACTAATCAGTTCACTTGTAAAGTTCTTTTTACCTGTGTTTGGGCCATGTTGGAGAAAATCTCCTGACGTGATATTCAAAGCAACATTTTGCACTTAGCCTAATGAAAGTAGTACAAATCTACCTGGTGTGGAATTTTCCAATTCATTACCAATTTTGCTAGGTGGCAATCCCCATAAACCTGAGACCACTCTGGATGGGGTAAAGCTGATTCTAGTTAAATTTATTGGTGTGTGTGTGTTATGGAGTCAGGAAAGGTTATATAAAAGACCAGAGAGGATAGATGGTTGCAACAGCCTTCTTTTCTTACAAGTTTCCAAACCCTAGAATTAAGAAATGCTGAATACAGATGTTTCTTTCTGCTGTCCTATTATAACAGTGACTGACAAGAGAAATCCTTCCTAATCAATCTTCATAATTATGAATAAATTCATCTAGTGAAACTAACAATGAGCTTAGCAACAGACCATGATTTGCAAGATAATCATTTGTTAGGGAGAATCTGGAAAGAAGGACCCTGAGGACTAAATGCAGTGTTCTCCAACATGAAAGGAAAAAATATAGAAAGCAAAAAGATGAAGGAAGAAGGGACAATTGCTTGTAAGGCTGAAGAAGGGCACTTTACATTAAAGTTTACAGCCTTCTAAACTAGATGCCCTGGCAGGTAAACTCCAAAGTTAAATATGCAGAAGGTGAAATAATATGTTCTTTTCTACTGTCAATCACTTTAGTTGGGTAATCATGTCTTTTAGCAACATGGAATCAGAAAAAAAGTTTTATTTACTCTTATGCTTATACTACATTTTCCTCCCCCCAGGGCAATTGATGTCTTATCTATAGAGGAATAGCCTAATGCATGATGCTACCAATCATATAATTCATGATTAATAATACTGGTGATGACCACCTGATATTGTTTTCTCTAGCACTGATGATATCACTAGTTTGGGTAAGGACCTCTCATTTCAATTCTGAGCTACAAATATTCTTCTCTATCCGTTGCTTTTTCTTTCCCACTGGGTCAAATTCTGGTAGCTACAATACTGCAATGTGATTCCTGCCCTGTTCCCTTTCCACCACCTTCCACCCCTAAAGGATACCATGTAGCAATCTTTCTTCTGGTAATCTCCCCACCCCACCCCACAATCTCATCTCCAAAACCATCCAATATTTATGACTTACCATCAAATATCCCAAACTCATCATACTTCTTCTCACTCAAGAAATATTCAACAGTGAAAGTGATGTTGTACTCGGGTTCCACTGCTATCATCCAAGAGCAAGTTTGGAAGTGAGGATAGCTGCCTGTGAAGGATGGGCTTAGGATCACTCCTGTGGACTCACGGAGGACCTCATTCATTGGACAGTGAACTGATTGAGACACACACAAAAAAGCAAGGCACAGAGTGTCACTCTATGTCACTGTGAAAGAAAATTAGTCATAGAGCTGTTAACTAGGCTTAGAAGATAGAGGAATCTGGCTAACTCATCTAGCAGGTCTCCCATGAGATCAAGATCTCAGCACTGAAGGCTAGTAAATTCTGGAAGTTAGTCCACAGATTGGCGAAGATTGCCTGTTTTGGTTCATACTAATTCACTAGGGCTCTACGAGAAGTCTTTCCCATCACCTATTTGACTATTTAACTAGGGAAACAGTTCTGTTGCATCTTCCTCTAAATTAGCAATAGACTTTGATTCCATGATTATCTCAGGACCTTTTAAAACTTAGTATTCATCCTTGTCTCTACTGGGTTTGTGAGTATGAGATGGATTGCCATATTGCTTCTGAAAAGAAAATATCATTTGCACAAATATAAACTATGTACTGAAATCAAGAAGATGATCTGTTGTGGCACCTATGCCATGTTTACTTTAGGTTCTCTTTCTAGAATATAGCCTGGGTCTCCTTTAGAAGCTGAAGATGCAGACTGATTTATTTTTTGGCAATAAATAACAATCATCATCATCTATATCATTTTTTTATAGGAACAGTCTTTTTAACACCTTTTCTGGGTATCCACAGCATAGGTCTTAATATATCTGTTTGTCTTTTGTATATTCAGTATTAAATAGCAAGATATCCATATACTGTATTACTTACTCCCTGCCATGAGTTCTGGGATTTTTTTGCATTTTCATCAAAGTCACTGACCTTCACAAGTTGGGGGAGGGCCTTCAAATTGGAGGTGGGTACCAAGCCTGCATGTCAGGATCTCATTTCCAACCAAGGTGAAACCAGGAAGACATTGATACCTAATAATATCACCTAAGGAAAGGAACAAAGAGGACCCAGCTGTGTTCCAAGAGTTCAAAAAGACATATTTTGAATAAGGCTCATCAGATGGATCATGATTATAAGTGAACTAGATGTGAAGAAGGAGATCAGGATCTCATAAAGTTAATCAAAGTAAGGGGAGAAGAAAAAGCAGGTGGACTAAAAGTGCGATTCTCAAATTGTTATCTTGCCAAATGGGAAAGACCATCTGTTATTAAATGAAAGCATGTATGTTTTGTCTCATGGTCCAGAAAGTCACTTTAGAGTAATGTTTCTCAACTGCATAGATTTCAACTTCCAGAATTCCCCAGCTAGCAAGTTGTGGCTGCACATCTTAAAGTTGCCAAAGTGGAAGTTAAAGTTGGAAACGTTACTTTAAAGTGTTAGTGATTTGAATTAATCAAAAGACATGTCAAGGGAAATAGGAGGTGGGAGAGGATATAGTGCATAGGCCCTATCACGGCTTCATGCTCTGGCAAATTTTTATCTGATATCTTTGCAGCATACTTGGTGGTGTCATTAGGGAGAAATCTTTAGCCAAATTACTTTGCAAATTTCTCCCAGGTGTGTAGCACTACACATCAGAAAAGCCTTGTTATCTGCTACCTCTATTCTCTTGTGAAGCACTTCCAGTTATCCCCTTGTCTTCATTAATCTTTCAAATCTTTCAAACTCTGTATATGTCTGGTGTGGAGGTAAAGATCTACCCTTATGCACCACTAAATGCAGTGGGAGAATTCTAACTTGTGGGTAACATTTATTTTGTATACTCAAACTACTATTTTATTTTACTTTTTTGACTGACAAGTTGAAAAGTCCATCCTGTCTTGCTAATTTTCTGCTTGGAGAGTGAAGATGATGTTGTATTCTGGTTCCACTGCTATCATTCAAGTGAGGATAACTTTGTTTTAAGCAAAGTGGAGTGCTGAAAATCCCACCCACTTTTGATGTGAAAGTCAGAGTTTCAAATCAGGGATGAACTGCTTTAGCTGCAAAATCAGAGATGAAGTGTCTTAGTATTAGCTGATCTCCCAAGAGCTAATAAAACTAGGACCTGGTTAGTATTGTATTTGGTAGGGAGACCACCAGGAAATCCAAGGGTTGCAAGTCCAGAAAATTTGAAAAAAATATATAAAAAAAACAACCCAATGGCAAACAGCTATTCTGAATATCTTCCATATTGTTGCCAGGAGTCGAGCATGCCTCAAGAGGGGATTTGTGGATTATAATCATATGAGGAACAATGCTGGTTCTAATCTCTGTGATCTTCCTGGATTGAAGCATTCACTCCTCAGGTAAATTTCTTATAAAAGCTTCTTATAAAAGCTAATCCTGACTTTCATTTTAAGCTTCCTCCTCTTATCCACAGCAGATAAAGGCATTGATAGAAGAGGCAGAGTTAATGCAGTTGTTGTTTGTTCTCTTTTATGTGATTCTAGCTGCAACCAGTAGATTCCTGGCACTTACAATAAATAAGGAATACAGACTTCACTGTGCTAGGATGCTGAAATGCGTGTGGCAAGAACAGGAATTTTATTTACTTAATTATTGCAAATAAGTTATGGGTACCTATTTCAGGCAGTGAATTAGGACTGGCATGAGAATAGTGAGAACACTATCCTTCTGTGATTTATACCACCTGACTACATCCAAAGAAAATACTAGCAAAATCATGCATGTAATACCTATATTGTAATCTTCATTCTCAGTGATGATTTCAGCATTAGGTACCATAGTTGGTGGTTGGCACTTAGAAAGTTGATAGGCTGGAAAGAGAAATAAATAAATTAAGCCACATGAGAGTACCAAATCTCTAGCTATGGGACTTTTATATCTTTGTATTATAGATCCTCGGCAAAAGTTGGAATCACTTGTTGAGATAGGTGGCCATATAAATTGAATGGATGAGTAAATAAATAATGAACAAAGAGAGAAGCAAGAAGCTGAATCTCTGGAAAATCAATTCCACAACAAACAGAACCTGCTCTCTGGGTGGTGTTGGTGAAACCAATTTTCTCCTTTTTGTAGCCTTCTGTGGTTCAACATTTTGAAGATTCATCGGGCCTCAAGGATATTTTTTTTCCAGAAGAAATACATTCTTTTTATGTTGTAAGTCAAACATGTTTCTTATTCCTTGGTTACACCAACTACACAGTTGTTCACTCAGCATTTGAATTTATTTGTGTCACTGTTCACACAATTTGAATTAAATGGGTTATTGAATTAACCCATTTGCTTGATTTGCACAATACCTGGGATCTCAAACTCAACGGGCAGAGTTAAGCTACAAAAAGCATTTCTAATCTTAACAATAATCAATGCATGCAGCCCTTGGCTTCTAATCAATTTGATTAAACATCCTGTGCAAACCCAACCAGAGGGATAAGGGCTACTTATTGGTCCAAATTAGTGGTTTTTATGCTGCATCAGGCACAGTGGTATGGCAGAGAAAGCACCTGATAAACCTTAGTTGAATACATAAGCAATATCCAATATCACTGCTGCATGCAATAGGTTACAAAACAAGTGTGACAACAAACCCTTGTCCCACAGTGAGCTGTACACACCATAGAAGTGGATGGCAAAGAGGCCTCCATTGGCTGCATCACTATGAAACTTCATCAGAGCATGGTTGGAAGAGCTTTGGATAGCTTTCTTCACGGAGTGTCCTGTGAAAACCCCCAACTGGGGAGCTGTCTCTTGAGAACCATCCCTGAAGAGAAAGGGAAAGAAATACAAAAGAAAAGATACAGTTAAGAATGGGAGCATTATGGATCAGAGTTTGTACATCACTCAGGTTATTGGCGGAAGACAATTCCAACTGAGATTTTTAAAAGGGCTGACAATCCTCTTGATGCAAGAGCCAGATGATGCTTGGAAGGCCAATCAGGCACTCCCAGTGGGTCAATCTGGCTGAAGGATCCACAAAGTTCTCCTGATACAGGCCACAAGACCTATAAAAGGCCCTTGTTCCTACTTTATTTTATTTGGAAGATCTGTCTAGCTATGCACTTGAAGTTGTCTCGATTCCCAACCTAGAAATACAATATATAAAAAACAAAAATAATTTGTATATACTTACATATATAAACTACCTTTGTTAGGTAGTTTTAGTTTGCAATAAATTGTAACTAATGAAAAAAATACAAAATACCTATTTTAAATTTGACTATAGAAAAGCATTCTAGCATTGCCACCCCAGCTTTTGCTATGCAAAATGGTTTCTAAACACTAAATAATGGAAAGACTTTATAACTGAAAGGGTATAAGCATAATCCAGCACAGAGGATAAGTAACACAATGCAACACTTCAATGTGAAAGCAACACTGCAGCTCTTCCTATTCACACCTCGATCTCTCTCTGGTCATGAGCTTGCTTCCTCTGGTAGACTTCTGATCTAGAGGTTGGTGGATCTTCACTGGACCTCAGAGCCATGAAAATGAGAGTAGACAATAGCTATTGTTTATTGGCAACAGGGCATCTTTCCAAGTTTCTCCATGATATCCATTTTCCAAATCAAACAATTTCATTACTGCCATTTCATTGTCACCATCTCTCTCTCCAGATGCTCATTGCTACTTCAAAGTTCTTTAGGAAGCAAACTGAAATGTTCCCTTTCCTCCAGGGATTTGGAGGAAAAGATTTTCCAATTTGATGTCTTTTTGTAGTATATATGTTATTGTCCCGGGTCTACTGCCACCAAGTTTCCTAATCCCAGCTTGGGCAGTTTCCCTTGAGGTAAGTGAAAAACTGATATCTCCAGACTCCTCATGATGAGAGGATCTCTCATCATCTTCTAAGGGTAAGAGAACATAGCTATGACAGGGTTATAGCAATACCTACTGAAAAAGCTGGGCTCAGAGGGAGCCCTCAACTCCAAGCGCCACTCACCAGACAGTGATGAAGTCATTGTACGGCTCTGTTTGCAGCAAGGTAAAGTTGAGGTAGATGCCATATCCGGATGACACCACAAATAGCCATGTACAGTCCTGGGAATTGGGATACTGCTTGGGAAATCCGGGGGAGTAGATCGTTCCATTTTGGGCAGTCATGTTTCCTCCACAGGGAACTGTATGCATTTGACCACAAAAAGACATTAAGAGCTACTAAATATGAGTACTTGCAGAATAGTGGTGGTATGATTTTAGTATCATTTGATCTATTTTAAAGTCCTCCAAACTGCTATTACCATAATCTATACCATGGCTGTCAATCTTGCAGCCCATGGGACCAAATGCATCATGGACTGGCCATGCCCGGTTTAGCGAAGGGGGAAAAGTCATGATACATCATGTGATGATGCCATGACGATGCAAGTTTGACACTCCTGATCTATACAGTATTTTGTAATCTTGGCCACTTGAAGATGTATGAACCTCAACTTCCAGAATTCACTCTTCTCTGTACAGGCAGCAGGGAGAAAGAATACCCAATTCAGCTGAGCAGAGAAGATTACTTAAACATAAAACAAGCCCTTAACCCCTTTCAGGTTAAAGGATTTTTTTCAAAACCTGGTAAGTCTCCCTTAACCAGTTAACTGTGCATTGTGAATTTTGTCAATTTGTCTTGCCTGGGACAACTGTGGTTGCTAAAAGGGGCTACTATATAGCTCAGCATATGCAGAAGGTTATAAGTCATGGGAAGCCTTCTTCTGACAAACCAAAGTTTCCTCCAATGAGGGTGTGAAGAGAAAATATATGAACCTGTGGATGAAGCAAATTTAGCAAAGTTCAGCTTTACTACACTTCTATTCATACTGTTTTCTGGGAAAGCCACCAAGAGCAAATGTCCACATGAAAGGAATACTGAGAGAAGCATGCACAAAGATGGAGGTGAACAGATACAACAGTCATACTCAAATTAAATCAAAGCTGTGGAAAAGAAGAGATTTGTCACTCCACAAAGGAGCAGAAATTAAAAGGCATTGACATTATAATTAATGGTATCTAAGTACTGTGGAAGCAATAAAGCTGAATTAATAGTGGTATACCTCTAAGTGAAACAGAAATCAATAAAGGGCAAAGACCAACCAGTTCAGGTTTGTAGCCAGAAATGTGTAGTGGTCCTGGTGCTGAAGGATAGGTAAACTATATGTATGGAAACAAATGAATTATGATGCCTCTTGCCAAATACCAACAAGTCAGGTATACACATTTAATATGTATGTGTTATATCTCAGGCCTGCTAATTCAGTGTGTTATTTTCTCTTTTGTTTCCTTAATAATCAATCCCCTTCCAAGAAAAGTCTCAATAAAGTCATACCTTCACACCTGGGCAATGGGTGGTCCCAGTTCCTATTGGTTCCATGTTGACAGGTTAAGACTGGTTGTCCAATCAGCTGATAGCCAGGGAGGCACTCAAAAGAGATGGATTGCCCCACACTATAACCTGCTCCTCTTACTATGCCATTGGCAAAGGGCTCAGGATCTGGGCACTCCTGGAGTTCATAAGCTGGATATCATAAAATACAAACATGGCAATGGATTTAAAACCAGTTATTCCTTCCTTCAGAAATGCTTTACCTTCAGATGTCTTATAGGGAAGGACTATTAGTCAGCATTGTGCTCAAAGTGAAGGGCAGAAGAGTAACTGAGGATGGAAAGCATCCTGACTTGAAACCTTGGAGGAAGTTAATGATCAGCAATAACAATAGTGGGCAAGTTGTATAATCCCTCCTATACACTTAATTTTGTTTACAAGTCTTCTCTAGTCAATCTGCAGGATTTCCAATAGGGTGCTCTTCTCCAGATTCCCCCCAAAACTGCTTTCAATGGTCAGATATGGCTAGCCTAGAGAGCTCTTTCTTTCCTCCCTAAATGGCCAAAGGTCTAACTTGGTATAAGGCAATTTACTTAGTTCCAATGTTCTCTCAGCTGAACCATATTTGTGGTAACTGATCTCCAATCTTTAAGCACAAGCTGCTTAGCAACCAAAGCTGAGCTATGAAACCAAGCTGCACGTAACTGCATCAGTTTCTGGAATCCATCCAAATACAGTATTATATAAATACAAGGACCAATAAATTGATAGATGTTGCTCAGAAGTTTATTCTACCAGAGCAGCGATACATTAATAGCTATGGGAAGAGCTGCATTGCTCCAAAGCAGAGGTCTCCAAACTTGGCAACTGTAAGACTTGTAGACTTCAACTCCCAAAATTCTGCAGCCAGCTATGCATAGCTGGCTAGAGAACTCTGGGAGTTGAAGTCCACAAGTCTTAAAGTTGCCAAGTTTGGGGACCCCTGCCCCAAATGATCAATTTCCCATGATCTATTCCTGCCAGTAGAATCATCCCTTGTCATATGGGCTGATTTACAAGATTAGTTTGCTCTGCCAATCATCATCCTAGCCAGGTGAAAATACCATGGTTTTATGGTATCTTACTACTTAGATTGCTGTAATACATTCTAAGTTGTGATAATTTTGTATAGACAGTCTTTGACTAATGATTGGACCTATCTAGATGGTACTTACAACCCAGACTTGAGTTTCAACAGTCGCTCTTCCTGCAACCACTTGACCACACTTCAGATGTTCAACAACTGGATCTCACAGCCATTTGCAGTGCCCTGTGGTCACTGCGTTTTACAATGGTGTCACTGAAAACCAGCATGTACTTCTGGTTTTCTGCAAAATAGTGCCAATGGCAATATATTGGTCTGCTTAATGTCCACAGAATTCCCTTAACTACAGATTCACTTAACAATCATGGTGAATCGCTTAATGATTGCTGCAAAACATGTCCCAAAATCAGGTCAGTCATATGCTCGACACATTTTATGACTGTCAAGAGTTACGACTGTGATGGACAGGCTCCATTAGACTATTAGTTCAATGACTACCTGTAGTCAATCCAGAATCTTCAGTCTGCCCAAAAGAGAGCAGTCAGATTAATAATTGCACAACAATACAATCATACTATGCCAATATAGTACCAACTTCACTGGTTCTCGGTTCATTTCCAAATCCAATTTAAATTTCTGGTACTAATTGCTAAACGCATTCACATAAATTAAATTGTATGGATTTCATTGCATATCATGCTGTTCATAAATATTGCACTGAACATTTTGATTATAGACTTGTATATAGCTGAAATAATTTAAAATGATGCTGGTTTGATATGTGTATATGTCTGCATGAAATAAATTTGAAAGTGAGCATGGAGAGGGATATTATTAGAAGATTGAGACCAAGAAAGAAAAATCTTGACTGGCATATGGCAGTACATTACAAAACAACAGACACTGGGTGTTTTGAATTTTATTATTAAATCTGGAATATTCCTTCTGTCAAGAAGCATGCTGAAATTCTGAATCTTTCTTTTTGAGCTATTTTCTCAAAACTAGCATCAGAGAGATTTTCCTGCATTCTTTATTTATAAATAGCAGTACTCATTCAAAAGAGTTTTCTTTTGAAACTGATTTCAAATAACTTTAGTGAGTTTTTCATGTACTTCATGGGGTTAGTTTTGTACATGTGTGAATGAAATTTATTTTATTCTCTAACAAATCTGAAGCCTTCTTGACCTTTTTCTTGAGTTCCCATCTAATCTGTAACATAACTGGGGGACCTTTCAGTAGTACTGCAGCCATTACTGCTAATGAAAATCCTTATTACTGAAGAATTTCTGATTCCTCTAGAGAAATTCAAAGAAGCCATTCTCTGGTTCTTTACCTACAGATCTGATGATAATTTTACAAAACTATTCATGCTCAACTCTGTTTAAAATATGCTTTTGGGGCTTGTCCTGATCAGTGGGCCTCCATGAAACATGTCAAAACCTGCAAAATGGTAGTCACAATGTTGCAAAGCCTCAACACTTTGTATGTGCATTTTCATTCACACATACAAATGTTGATTTGATTGATTGCAATGTCCTACATCCACCATCTTGCAGATTTTGATAACTCTCCACACCTGCTCTTGAGCAAGATGGCCAGATGAAAGAGGATCCACAGAAAGTTCTACAAAATATACTGGCATAAAAGCAGCCTTGAAGAAGTCATTCAACACTTCCTTATCCCTGGAAGAACAAAGGAATGAAAAAGAAACTCTTGAATGAATAAAGTCCTGTCTTTATTCTCATTGGTATAAGAAGAGACAGCTCTTTTCTTTATATATTTTTTTCAGCTTTGGATAACCTTTTTCTTAATGTCATTGACTTCCATTTGAATGGGTAATTGGGAAACGGATGACCATTTGGCAGGCATAACATTAATGAGAGAGCCTTAACTTTTTCTTAACCTGATAAAAGTCCGGCATACAACACTGCAAATACAATTAAGAAATAAAAATAGTCCTTGACTTATGACCACAATTGAGCCCCACATTTTTGTTAAGTAATTTTTACCCATTTTATGACCTTTCTTGCCATAGTTGTTAAGTGAATCATCACAGTTGATAAGTTGGTAACCCAGTTGTTAAGTGAATCTCATTTTCCCATTGAGTTTCCTTGCAAGAAGGTCACAAAATGTGATCCCATGACCCTGGGACACAACAACAGTCATAAATATGAACAGGTTGCCAACCATCTGAATTTTGATCACATGATCATGGGGATTCTGCAAAGGTCGTAACTGTGCAAAATGGTCATAAGTCTTCAGTACCACTGTAGCATTGAATGGCCACTAAACGAACTGTTGTAAGTTGAGGACTACCTGTAATAATATCTGTAACCAGAAAAGGAAAACTTTTGTTGCACTGAAGTAGAAATACAAAAAGCTAAAGAATAGTCTTGTGCTAGGAGGAAATTGTCTGATGTAGTAATTTAGAGGTCTCTGAGCACCAAGCAAATTAAGGTTGGGTTGAATTCTTAGGTATATCATTAGGATCTCCTGGAAAATACATTGTGGATTAACTTGTTAAATTTGGCAGGCTACTAGGATTTAGCAAGACTACTAGGCAAAACAAGAATTTCCATTATACCCTAAAAGTATTGTTTTCAAAAAATACAGTAGTTTTGTAGCATTCATCACACTTGAAAAGTGCCCTAAAGACAATGGACTTGTTCCATTCTTAGCCTTCTCAGCTTCCTGCTCCTTACCTTGATATTCTACTTTAAAACCAGGCTTGTTCTGTGAGTGGTCACTGTGGAAATATAAGGTGGTTTCGTGTGACGTGGAAAGAAGAGAGCCTGGGAGGTCGGTCCCACTAAATCGGCTGATGATATTACTGGTATCATATGGCCCATTGCGAATTTCAACAAAATCATGATTAGGTTCAGTGGAAAAGTTTAAGAACTGGAGATGAGCACCTGCACATGGCAGAGAAAGTGAGAAAAAGATTTAATTAACTGAATTGCTTCTGTGTTTGATTAACTTTCCATCATTCTTCCCCAAAGTACAACATGAAGAATTCTCAAGGTTTCAGACTAAGATCTTTCATAGACAATATTGTATAGTGTGGTAGGTGCCAGAAGATTATCAGTATTACTCCTAGTGATAACCTGAACAAGTCCCCACAATTTTCTTGCTAACATTTTTAGAAGTGGTTTTATCTTGCCTTCTTCATCCTAGGGCTGAGAGAGACATATTGGACCAAAGTCATCAGGTGGTTTAGGATTAGAAACGACAGTCTTCCTGATTCTAGGCCAGTATCTTTAACCACTATAAATCAACCTGGTTCTCACGTATGTATTGCTTCATAAATGCTATTTAGGTACATTTTGTGCCCTTGGAGCCCTGGAGCACTTATACCACCAGCCCTGATTTAGAAATAAAAGATGAAACATCACCAGAAAGCACACTCAGAGGACCTAGACAGCTACTTTCTTTGTATTTAGTATTTTACTTTCTAAAACAATGTATTTATTCCTGGCTTCCTTGTCACTCAATAAGGTCTATTCCAATATACCTCTTGACTATTCCATTGCTATAATTCTGGAGGCCTCCTCTGTTTTTGGGTAATAGCAATTTTTCTCCTGGTAGGTAGTGGATCTCAAGTGGCCAATCCCACTTGCTTTGCTTTGCTATACTTCACTTTTAGGCTACCTATGACCAAAGTACATGGGTGAAGCGTAAACAGAAACTGGATTGCTAATTTGACACCATCACCAAATACATTGTGACTTACTTTGAAAGAATGGGGATACAGAAGGATGTGGTGGAGAACTGTAGTTTGAGGGGCAGGAAATGGATTTGCAGCAAGATTTCCCTTGCCTGGATCATGGAGAACTAGCCTCTCATGGATTGCCTACCATTTTTCCTCCAGTACCATCAGCTAGTCATTTGGATTTTGCACGTTGGATTTAACAGGGACAATTAGATAAGACAATATCCCCACTACTGAGAAGGAGACAGAGAAGAAGAAGAAAGAAAAAGAAGAAAGGAGGAGGAGAAGAAGCCTACACTGAATCCAAATCTTAAGAAAAAGTGCTCACCAACTTGCATTGGAAGGGATATAGCATTCATTAAAAAACTCATTACATTTTACGACCAAATTTAAAAATGGTTCATCAGCTTCTGGATCGAGTGTTATTTTTGACTTTGAAATGGTCGTGCATGAAATTATTTTTATTATGATAATTATTTATTTAACAGAACCAACTAAAACAAGTACAGAATAATATATTAAAACAGAACAATGTCTATGTTCTTAAAAACTGAAAAAGTATCATTGGCATATTTAAAGTTGCACAGAAAGTAATGTTTGTTACCAATATGGCCCTTAGATAAAACAACAGGGTCAAATAGGAGTTGAATGTTCCTACTTTCAATATTAATAACAGTCAAAAATCCATAATCATGTTAAAGAAAAAGGCCATTTCAAAAAAGCATTTTAGGAAGAAATATCTGAATATATTTGTGTGAATGTATTCATGCTAAAGTGGGATGAGAATCCAAAATGCCTTGTAATGGTTAAGTTTTTTGACAGGGAGATGATGGTAGTGAAGAGACCTTCCACCTTATTATTCTGGGCCAAACTCATGTAATTAATCAACCATACAAAATGGAAAAGTCTGGATCCAGAATGTTATGTTCTGGAACAAACTAAATTGAGAGTTCCAGGACTGGACTATGCATTCTTGGAAGGGTATCATCTGGAACATGAAGGAAGAAATGGTTTTCTGGAGGTAAAATAAAAATTTCAAGGAAAAAAAATGAAATATTCCAGAAAACTATTATATGCACATAACTATTTCCATTTGCTTTAAAATGTCATTATTATGAATATTTCCCAATTATCTGCAGGAAATCTGGAAGATTCTTGAAAGAAGATGGAATACATATCCAATTTCTGGTTGAAGATTTCGAATGTGAAAATTTTGCCAAAGGAATTCTAGAAAAGATGAAGTGGTACTATCTGAACTGCTGCCTCCCCAGTGTTACATTTGTTTTCTTCTACTCTGCTAGCTTTCGTTAAACAAAAGTCAAAATGCTTTCTCTTTAAAATATTTGTTCATTCATTCATTCATTCATTCTTCCATCCATCCATCCATCCATCCATCCATCCATCCATCTATCCATCCATTCATTCATTTATTCATACCAAGGAGATCGGGGTTGGCTTATCCTGGATCAAGCCATGAAAAGTATCTGAAAAGAGATATCTGAGATGGGAAGGATGCTGTGATTTTCTTACCAAATCCTACAGTAAAGGATATCTTCCAGGTACAATCACTGTTGCTAGGGTAGTTTCCAGGAAAGCCAGGGCTCAGGATGACACCTTCCATCTCTTCCAAGATTCCGCCACACTGGGCTGTTAAAATTACAATAAAGCAGTTGGTCATAAACTATTCAAATGTCTTTGTCTTTGTGTTGAGTGACTGTTAGGACCACGGAAGAAAGAGCTGATGGATGGGCACAGGATTGATTGCTGAAAGTTCGATGTACCCCATCAAGAACATATTTAAAAAGATTAATAGGGGATGCCAAATCCATTGCTAGACAGATTGAATTATGTTCAACTAAATCAGGCATAGCAAGTGGTTCATCGATTTGCATGTTAATCCAAACCCCTCACCAAATGTGCAAATTCTTTATTTGAAATTTAAAATGAAGTCATAATATACTGAAATAGAATTTAGAATGCAGGCGACATCCTCAGGGAGCTATACTTCATGAATGAAGCCTGGGGGTTGATTCCAGTTCTTAGTCCTCATTTGTTCACCCTCCAAGTTGAACTAACAAGATGGCTTCACCTAATATTAATTGTGTCAAAATTTATCACACTAATTTTTTTCACACCAACTCGTAGTGGAGTGGTGGGTCCATGAAGGAAGGTGGCTAAAAAAATCAATATGGTGGCCACAACTGCACACTGGAAGCCCTGCCCTTTTTAATATGTGTTACAAGTAAAAAAAGGGGTATGGACTTGATCTTATGATCATTGCTGTGGCCGCCATTTGACTTTTTAAAGCCTCTCTATGAATATCCCTCCCAAACAGATAAATTTCTATTCTAGGGAGCATGGGACAATTTCCTTTCCCACCATGTACTACCCATTATGCCCACAAGGAAACTTATGGAGGTTATGCTTTTCTGTTCTCAACTCCTAGATCTGGGTCAATTTTCCATCTTCAACTGTATATCTATAATGGGAAGAAGAAATAACTTTGAGGGACAGAAGAAGAGCCGCAGGCAAAACAATGATTGAATAAAAGAAAATTGAGTCCAGAGTGAACTTGTAATCTGAGAAAGTAAGTGTCTCAGGCTTGACCTTCCCTTGTTCTCATGAAGATCAAGCATATTCAGACTTGTAAGATTCTGTTACTGAAGCCTTATAATAAAAAATAGTATTAGCATTCATAACTTTGGTTTCCTAGTCTAGTATACCTTGAAGGGCTCACAATATCCAGCACCACTTCTTGGACTATAATAGACATCTAGCTCCCTTCCATATAGTCCAAAACAGAACCTAGAAGACTATACTTTTAATCCACCCTGACATTTGACAGCACAGATTCCCTTCATTATATGCATTTTTCCCCCTGCTGATTCTATAGCTTTCTAATTTCATGCCTCCTGATGTCTGTTTAAATGAAACTCCTTCTCAATTATTTAAAAAGGGGAACATCTGGATAAAAGAAGACAGGAAATCTCTAGTCAGTCCATTTTGTAGGGACACGGTAGCTGTTTATCAAAACTTGATTGCTTCTGTCTTTTGGAATGTGACACAACAATATTTATATCTCTCTACTATCATTTTTTTTTTCAGCAAGAAAGGAAAGCATAGTGTCAAAGGGTATTTCTTATTCAGGAGGTGCAGCCAGAAAATCAGGCATACTGATGCAACAAATTAAGCACTCTGTTTCTAAAAGGAGGCAGTAAAAACAAACACATGCAATTTTTTTATTTAGGTGTTTTATTTACAATCAAAGAACATAAAAAAACAATGTTGGAAGGGACTTTTGAGATATTCTAGTCCAACCTTTTGGTCAAGCAGGAGGTCCTATACCATTTCAAAAAAATGGCTGTTCAATCTCATCTTAAAATCCTCCAGGGATGGAGCAAGCCATTTCACTTGTTCTCACTATCAGGAAATTCTTCCTTAGTTCTAGGTTGGATCTCCTTTTAATGATCTTCTCCATTGTTAAGTCTTATCCTGCCCTCAGATGCTTTGAAGAACAGGTCGACTCCCTTTTTTCTGTGACAGCCCCTTAAGTGGGTCTATGACAATTCATCATGGCCAACTCGCAATGGCCAACTCACCACAGTCAACTTCCTGTAACCAAATCACTGCAGGACAACTCGCCTGTCAGATCCGTGTATCTGTCATTTCTTCAGTGGAAGAAGAAAAGGGGGGGAGGCTGATAAAGAAATCCTTTCTTGATGTAACCTGAATATATTTAATCTTATATCGAATTTGTATAACCCACACATGATACGATGGAGGGAGAAAAGCCAGATGGCCGGAACTATCACCTCTGAGAGGCACAGCCAGGAGATGAGAAGATCATAAAAATTCCACAGTGAAATGTGTCCTGGGAACCTCTGGAAAAGTTCGTTCTAAAAAGGGGGTGGGTGGAAATTAGGTATGCCCTGGGAAACTGTGAAAAAGATTGTTCCTTACAAAAGGGGCGGGGAGGAATTAACATACTGGCTTTTGTTTCACTAATACACATCGAGATAAGGGGAGGGGTTCTAAACTCCCTTATCTATCCCTGTATGCCTGAGAGACCTCAGACGCTGCTTTGAACTCCTACATGAATTGTCTCATCTCAATAAAGGATTCCTTTTTGATACGTTTTCATACGTTTTCATAAATTCATTCTAGTTGAGTGAATGGGAAAAGTTCTGTAGCCTGACATCACCATAGCCAACTTGTCACAGGACAACTCACTGTAGCACAAGAATTACACTAATATCAAAGAAATAGTGGAACAGAATCATTAAAGAAGGGATGCAAAAGGAGGGACAAGATGAAATATGAACGGCAAAAATTAAAATAATTTTTATTTATTTTAAATAATTAAATAGAATTGTTTAATTGTCTCATGGTGAGTTGTCCCATGGTGAGTTGGTCGTAGCGAGTTGGCTATGGCAAGTTGTCCCATTTTTCCCTCTACTGGAAAACTGCTATCATGTCATCTCTAGTTCTTCTCTTTGTTAGAGTAGACATAACTAGTTCCCTCAATCATTCATCATACAGTTTATCCTCCAGGCCCCTTATCATCCTTGTTGCTCTTTTCTGCACTCTTTCTAGGATCTCAATATCTTTTCATAGTGAGAAGAATTGGGTTCATCAATCCACAACATTACAAATGAAAAGACAATTTAGCTTTCTCTCTGTACATCAATATATTTTACTTTAAGAAATATTGAACATTATATGATGCTTAAAAAATAGCCAGACATTGTGCAAAAGTAAAAGAAGGATGGGCAAAATTGAAGCAGAGTGTGGACAACCATTCCAGTTTTGAGACTATTGTTCCCATTTTCTGTTTCTTTTCTTCCCTCAAAACAGGAGATTTTCTGCTTCTTTTCTTCCCCAAAACAAGAGATTTCCAAAAAAGGTAAATAGGGTTGATAGAAGTGATATTCTGCATGGGAGTTTTAAAATTAAACCATGGGGCACATGTACTTTAATTCTGAGGAAACTGCGGGATCAGAAATATCTGTAAGATGTAGTAAAAAAACCCTCAGGATTATGATGATGGAATCTCTGCCTTTTTAAAAGAGAAAAGTAGAGGAATTATCAACATTGAAGAGTGACATGCAAAGTTTGATGTGATATGTGTGTATGTGATTGTTCTATCTTTTATTGTTCAATGAAAATTGTTTTAGTTTTTGATTGGGAGTCATCCAGAGTTTATTATAAGATAGGCAGCTATATATATGTTTTAAATAAACAAAACATAAAATAAAACCTGTCAGCATCCTTCCTGGCTTCTTAAGTTTCTTGAAATCTCAAGAGATATGTCAGAGAGAATTCCTCCTCTGTTTTTTTTTATAGATTTGTGCAACAAGGTTTCCTTCAGAATGATAAAATAATGAATAATGGAAACATCAAGACCAGGAAAAGCACCATATATACTAACTCAAATGACAAAACAAGCGTTACAAAAGTATTAAGAGAAACATTGCTTCTGCTGTCTTCCCCTTATTCCCCAGAGAATTCAGAATTTATTTTAAATTTCTCTCTGAATGGGAATATTTTGTAGCTTACTACATACTGGGTATCAAATTTCACTCCTGCAATTCAATGTATTGTGCAGTTCAATGCAAGTGTATGTTCAATGTCACATCTATTGCGGATCAATGTTTTGAAAGTCACTAGGGGTTTACTGCATGTGGGGAAAGTGACTTGCAAGACCTCATCTTTTAAGCTGATCTGTCACTTGTTCCTTTACTCAAAAACGGGCAAGGGTTTTTATACTAACACTGATTCAGCTGTTTTATGCTAATATTGATTCAACTGTTTCCATGTTCGTGGAACAGAGGTCTGCAGGCAGACAAAATAAAAATGTTCTGATGAAGTGCAAATAAGGGGGAGGCCACCTTCAATTACTGTTTGTAACTGACTGGAACAAAATGTTGATGGGCTGAACATGGGAAAAGAGACACAGGATACAACACAAATAGAAAGGAACATAAGACAGAATTGTTGCAGCATAACTAGAAGACAAAAATATATTAAAACATGATATCCCTTTTGAAATAACACTTTTTGGTGAACACTAGCTTGGTTCATAGGAAACACCAAGATCTAAAACACAATTGCCACATTCACATAAGTGTAAATCAATAAATCAAGGATATTATACTTATAAAAGGTTTGTGTGGTTTACACAGCATGCTAAAAATGGTTGTCCCAAAGGTGCTTTTTTCAAGAGGCAACTGGATTTCTTTGTTTTTCCTTGAACACATTTTGCTTCTCATCCAAGAAGCTTCTTCACTTCTGAAGAACTGAACTGAACTGAAGAAGCTTCTTGGATGAGAAGTGAAACATCTTCAAGAAAAAGCAAAGAAAGTTCAGTTGCCTTTTGAAAAAAGCACCTTTGGGACAACCATCCCCTGGATGACTGAGAATCTCTAAAGACATTTAAAAATAGTTGAGTTTTGAGAACATACTCTACCACAAGCTATCCAAACCCATTTTAGCCTAGCCTGGCATGTTGGGTTAATACAACCCTTAGAAAGTACTTCCTTTAGGCTGGAAGAGACAATGGCGATCATCTGGAAATTCCAAAAATGAATTACTATTTCACGGCAAGATCAATGGTTCGCCTCCTGTTTCCACTTCCTACTGTTGCTTTTATTCCTGTCGCAGAGAACAATTATTCTGACCAGAAAAAAATGAAGCTTTCAAAGTATTTCCCTAACTTCATGTCCTGCATCAAGTTGATTATTATTATTCCAAAATTATTATTTTTAATAAATCCACAAAGCCAATAGGAAAACCAGAGAGAATCACAACTGCAGCAAAATATAAAGTCATTAAGGTCAGAATAGGCTCCTACATGCATGTACAGATAACTGCTAGAAAAAGCCTCTATTTATTGGCTACGGAGTATAAATAAAGTATTTAGATGATGAGTTTCATTACCTTAAACTGGGGAGATCATACCTTTTATAGGAGACAGACTGACTATTCTCGTCCTTGCATAAATCACTGAAGATCTAGTCTAACAGATGTTCTTTGGGTGTTGTTTGTAATCTTGGCAAGATAGCAATCACATTCATCTATTACTGACCTCATTCCTATCTGGGAAAAGACACTTATTTGTGGCATCTTTGTTTTCTACAGACAAGAGGTGGCTAAAATTGAGCACAAAAGCTTACAAGATAGCTTGCTGTTTTAAAGAGAGATGAGAGAATATGAATACAGCATTAGATGAGAATACAGTTTCACAAAAGAAGCATTTCTTCAACATTCAGATGCTCACTAATTTGTGAGAGAATAGTGGAACATCAGAAAGTAACATGACTAATTAAATGTTACAGATGAAGTACTCAACATATAACAAGGATTACCATAGCTGGCATTTTTCTTTCTCAAAGCACGCACATGCACACACACACACACACACACACACACACCCAGTCCTCAGCCCAAGGCTTGGATCAGATATGCCAAGGAAAGACTGCAACATATGGTTGCAGTGCCCTGTTCATTCTTCCTCTTCCTAATAAGAGTCAATTTTGGGGTAGACAGGGTAGAACTTGGGAAACCATAAGTTCTAGTTCTCCATTGGGCTTTTAATCCAACCCACCTTTCATGATGAAACAGGAGGTGGGACCATTTATTTTTGAACTGTTCAAAAATAAAGCTCAGCTATTAAATAATTAAATACCCTTGTTACTGAGGAAAGAAGGGAGGAAGGAAGGAAGGAAGAAAAGGCGAGGAGATGGGAGGGGAGGGGAGAGAAAAAGAAAGGAAAGGGAGGGGAGAAAGAAGAGAGGGAGGAAAGAAGACAGGTGGGAGAGAGAAAAAAAGGTGGGAGGAAGGCGAGTCCTTGGCAAGGAACTAAATAAACTTTTACCTATACAAAGTGGAGGAGGGTAGTTCCAGCGTCGCACAGTTCCTGGCATGCAGGAAATATGAGAGTGCCCCTGAAGCAAAGGCAGAAAGAAAGAAAGAAAGAAAAAACCATTAGCAAGTAGGAAGCAAAAAGGAACTGAGAAACAAGCCAAATGGAAAGAATAGGCAGGGCACCTATCTCAGCCAAATAATATTCTTTAGCAAAGAATGGAAGCGGTACATACTACAGCCTGGAATTCTAAGATAAGATAGCTTTCTTTCATTAAATGAGAAAAACATCAAGAAAAGAGCTAAAGATACACTCAAAAACGAAAATAGACAAAAGACAAAACAAATTTAAAAAAAGAAGATATTGTACACTGATGTGTGTGTATATGTGTGTCTACACACACACACACACACACACACACAAATACACACAACTTTATGAATAAATATGAGATGCTCAAAAAAAGTGCAATAATAGTATTGAATACGGGTATTGAAAGTGTTTCTACCCAAAGTGACATTTATCAGGAAAATGTATTATGAAAAAAGTGTTAATTATATTTAAGAAATGTTATAATATGGTACAAATATAAAGAATTTTGAACACACAGTACCTTACTTTAATTCTGGAAGGTTTAACTCTACAGTTCTAGTGTTTCATTTTGCATTAATTTTTCAGCAAAACCCATCTCCCACACTTCTAAACACCACTGATCCAGAGAAAGGTGTACATTTGATTTTTCAATATTTTCCAGTAAGATACCTTGAGCTAACAACAGGAAATGAAATTAATTCCTTGTGCTGCATCAATTTTTACACCACAAAGCAACAGGAAGGTTCAAATTACTCAATTTTCCAGAAGTCTTCAAACACTTTTAACCAAAGGCATCCTCACCAAAGATGTTAAAAATGGATCAATTTGATTGCAACCTCTCCAAAATAACCTGGAAAGATTGCTCTTTATATAATTTGAGTGGCACCTACGGATGCTCTTTATATTTAATGCTGATGTCTTGTCAAAAGAGACTTCAAAAGAAAGGTTAGGCCACAAAGTTACAATAAGATTCTTTGCCTTCAAGTACCAAATATTTCGCTAGTGTTCTTTTGAGAGGTTCAGGAAGTGCTATGATTGAGATTGAGAGTTTCATACCACACTGATGTGATTCCCTCGATTTTAACTGAGGTTGCTGTATTCTATGTCAAATGTTACTCATGTTCATCTGATAGGATTTCGCAAACTTCTTCTAAGGCAAGTTGTTTTTCAAATTTGGCAACTTAAGTATTTTTCAAACTTAGCATGCTGGCTCAGGAATTCTGAGATTTGATGTTCACGTACCTTATGATTGCCAAGTTTTAAAACACTGCTCTGAGATAATGATATAAAGTTCATACAATAATTTTCTTCCCATCTTTTCTTTTCCATGGTAGCCAGACATTAGAATGGGCTGTGATACTGATGTCTCAATTTACATTGATTTTCAATCCACTTTAACTCATTATTTTTTTCAGAATTAAATAATTATTTGGAGAGTGGGTAGGTACCTGGAGAGCATATCCTGGCTCGCACTGAAAGGAGACCACATCATTCACCACATATCTTTCACCAATTTTCAGGCCATTACTGGGGACAGCCGGTTCTGGGCAACTGGAGAGACCCACAGCTAAAAAAAAGCACAAACAGTTAATCAGTATGTATTTAGCATTATCCATTTATGCACGTATCACTACTCAAACAGGCTGTAGCTACTGTAGATACCATGAATTAAGAAAATTCATCCCACTTTCCCGGTGTTTTTTCCAGAGAGCTAGTTCTTCACATAATGTGTCTGAAGTAGGATAATTTGAACTTGGACATTAGGTCCTTGAGTAAAGATGCTGAGTTTGATGATCCATCAGTTTGTTTTCTTAGCCAATTTACAATTAACAGAGTCAGGTCTTAAATATCATTTTCTATTAGTATTATTGCAATACGTTGCACCTTGGATGAACTTCAGCACAAGTCAGCATTGTTTGATGTCACCCTGACTTGTCTAAGTTTTTTTCTCCCTGCCAAGCTTTCTTGGAGATCTTTTCCTCAAACTTGTTTCATGGAAGGCATCATCTGAGTCCCTGACTTCACCCTTCAGAGATCCCAAGGACAGATTCAGTGTACTATGGCTCAGCGCTGAAGTCAGGTGAAGACTTTTCAGCAGAATTGGCCCAGAGGATATTCTCAGTGCAAGTATGTGAAAAAGCTTCACCTTTTCCTCCATCCCTCTTTTCTGCTCTTTATCTTATACTGTGTAGCAAAACATAGGATAAGAGCCATGGTGGTGCAGTGGTTACAATGCACTACTGCAGGCTACTTCTGCTGACTACCGATTGCCAGCAGATTGGCAGTTCAAATCTCACCAGGCTCAAGGTTGACTCAGCCTTCCATCCTTCCAAGGTTGCTAAAATGAGGACCCAGATTGTTGGGGACAATATGCTGACTCTGTAAACTGCTTAGAGATGGCTATAAAAGCAATTTGAAGTGGTATATAAATTGCTATTGCTATAGGAATAGAATATCGGTCATAAGATAGGAATGGAACAGATCAGAATACAGACTCATTGGATTGGATTGGTCTCCTAGTCCAATGCTGCCCAGGGCAAGAATTCTCATACTACCCCAGAAAAGGCTATCCAACTTCCCCCTGAAAGCCTCCAGTGATGGAGTTTCCATGACTCCAGGAGGCAGGCTGTTCCATTGCTTAATACTCTGATGATCAGAAATGTCTTCATTTTGAGTTTGGATCTCTCTTCATAAAGTTTCCACTCTTTGGCTCTTGTCCTTCCCACAGATAAGCCCGCATTCTCATCCTTGTTACAATCTTTCGAGTATTGCTATTATGCTTCAGCTACACTTTCTCTTCTTTAAGTCTAAACATACCCAATTCCATTAACCATTCTTCATAGGTTGCAAGCCTCTCACCATCTATGTTGCTTTTTTTCTGAACACTTTCCGGTTCCTATGTTGCCTTGGATGAACAGAACTGGACACTGTATTCCACATATGATGTGATCAATGCATCTATTTACTTCCCATGAACCCAATATTCTACCTCTGTTGATATAGCCCAAGGTTGCATTGGCTCTTTAGTATGGTACAGTGCAGCACATGGTATCTGCAGCATACTAAATCTGCTTAATTTGTATTCTATCAGGAGTCCCTGATCTGTGTCCAAAGTATTGCCATCGATGGAAATACTTCTAGCCCCAAACTTGCTTTTTTTTTTTGCATGAGGACCAACATTCAGTTTTTTAAAAGCACTTAGAACCTTAAACCTCTGAATCATTGCTGCAGGGAGCTGAAAAATGGTACTAAATGAATGAATGCATATGGTGATATAAAGGATTTTTCACTGAATAGGCTTTCTGGGGTTTTTTAGCACTCAAAAATCTAAAGATGAGTTAAGGCAAGAGAAATGAAAGAGTATTTTTGAGGTTTCTAAAAAACAGCCTCCAGAAATGGAAGGAAAAGAAAGCCTTTTAAGAGGCACTTTGTTGATATGTCAAGCAAGCCACAAAGCAAAAATATATATTTAATCTCTCTTTATAAGCTCCATCTTTTTCTGCTCCTGGAAATGGCCAGTTGAGCAGCTACTCCCACTATTATCCTTGTATTTCTGTATGGGAACTAAGCTCTGAAAGTTGATTAATTCCACAGCACTTTGCCCTGGAGAACTCTTTACAGCTTGGTATCAAAAATGTTATTGTTATGAAGTGCCAGCTATGCAGGTGCCTTTACAGCATGAAATTTGTCTTGACATGAGGAATGCATAAAGCTGCTACATTGATTTAGTTTGTTGATCTACCTAGTCCATGAATACAGCAACCGTGAACAGTGCAAGGCAAAAACATCTTTTATTCTCTCTACTGGACAACTCACTAAATGTACTGGAGACTGATCAGGAAATTTTCTGCATAGAAAAATAATGGAAGTATTGAAGACTTCATATAATGTATCATTTTTAGCAGGATGGGAATGGTTCTCAATCATATTATTTTTCAGAGTTTCAAATTTTCATGATTTTTATCAAACAAATCATTTTGAAGATGCTGTGTATTAGGCCATGACTTTGTTGTCCATCAACCTGTATGTTCATTAAACTATGATATCTAGTTGATTATTACACCATATTATTTTCCATTAAAGAATTAATTGAAGATAAGAGGTAGAAAAGATCTTGAAGATCATCTCATCCACCCTTAACCTCATTTCATGAATCTACAGCATTCCTGTTACCTTGCCAACCAGCCTCTGCTTACACACCTCCAGTAAATCCACCATGTCCTGAACAATTATTATTATTAATAATTTTTCCCTGATGTTCACCTGCAATCAATTTCCTTATGTTTTGTGTTCTTGTCCTATCTTCTGAAACAACTCTGAATTATTCTGCCTCATCTTTTACATCATGGCAATTCAGATATTGAACAACTATATTTTTCCTCCAAGCTAAATAATCTTCAACTGTTTCTTGTAAAGTTTTTCTTCCAGGCCCCTTATCATCTTAGTTGAGAAGGACACCCCTAATTTTTTTAATGTTCTTCCTAAAATGTGGCTGGAATTGGTTATACTATTCTCAACATATTATAGTTTGAACAATGTAGAATAGAGAAGAATGATTTCTTTTGGTCTTGACATTATATTTGTTGTCTCATGTTCAATTCTTGATCTCCAAAATATCAAAGTTTCATATGTATTGTTGCCCAGAATGCCTGCCTACATCACCACCCCTATTCCATAATTAAACCTGTGATTTTTCTTACTCAAATGTAGGACTTTGCATTTAATCTTGATGGTTTCTGCCCAGCTTGTCAAAGACCTCCTGAATCTTGATACTGTTCCTTATGGTGTTTATTATCACTGCATCTTTCTGTTGATATTTTCTAACCCGTCATCCATGACATATGTTGAATTACATAAGCCCTAGAATGGTATATTTCACCTCGTTTGATGGAGAGCCATTGACATACACTTCCAAACGTTTGTTTGGTCAGTTTTTCTCCATCTGGTAGTAGCACAGTCCAGCTCATTTTGTTATCTTATTTATGAGAATCTCTTAAACTTTACTGAATGTTTTGCAGAAATCAGTTAACTGGAAGATGATGGTAGAACTGTGGGCTTAAAGCTTTCCTTCATTATGGCAGAATCCCAATTAAAGTGCATTAAAATCACAACACTATTATTTAGCCCATGATGGAAGCTTCAAGAATTAAATCCTGCACCACTAATTCTACATTTAAAATGTTATGACTCAGGAATACTCCCCCCATGTAATGCATGTATACAGTCCCTATGCAAATGAATATATCATACATGCTGATGATCTTCTCTGGCGGAGTGAAAAAGGACACTGCTGTTGTTTTTTCCACCATGGGACTTCCTTCAGAAGCTGACTGGAAGGGCCCAGCAAGGACCATCTGTTCTGATAGTCTCAGCCTGAACTCTGGCTGTGGCGGGGATATAGTGCATAGATTATATCATGCACCTTTGGTCACCAATTTGATTTGGGCTTCAATTGGGCTCCAGTTTGACCATTTCAACACATGAAATTGTTGAGGTGCTTGGTTCAGTATCACATGGATTATTTTCTACCTCCCGCCCTGATCAGCACTCAATAGGGAGAGATTATGGCATGTGGGATAGGGGTTTCTTCTCCAACTTCTTTGTAAAGTTATCTCTTCTAGAAAAGAGCCTTTGGAGAAGGACCATCACTCATAGAATAAGAGTTGGAAGGGACCTTGGAGGTCATCTAGTCCAACTCTCTGCTTGTCCAGTCTCTTCTTGAAAACTTCTTGAGTCTCTTCTTGAATGCTCCAGTGTTGAAGCCTTCCACAAGCCTTATTCCACTGATTGATTGTTCTCACCATTAGGAAATTTCTTCTTAGTTCTAGGTTGCTTCTCTCCTTGATTACTTTCCATCTATTGTTTCTAGTCTTACCTTCAGGTACTTTGGAAATAGTTTGACCCTCTCATCTTTGTGGCAGTCCCTCAAATATTGGAACTTATATGGAGCTTTAACTCATTTGTACAGAGCTTTAAGTGCTCCAGTTTGCTTGTAGGGGTGGGCAACTATGGCAACTTTACAACCTGTAGACTTCAAATCCCAAAATTCCTGAGCCACTACTCTAATGCTAGCAAAATCTTTTTTTAAAGGGAGGGTTCAGAGGCCAAGTCTAAAGAAGATTTAGCTCTCCCACTGGCACTTCCTGTCTTCAATTACTCCATAAATCCTTTAGCTTAAGGCCATGAAAAACTAATGCCAATCAGTATAGCTAGTAATGAAAGTATTGGTTTTATGACCGGACAAGATAAATCTTTAAACAGCATCCATAGTTTGATAGCAAAGAAAATGAATGAAACCTTAGATCAATCTCTAGCATCTCTAATTAACTAGCTCCATCTTTTGTGTCCACCTGGTAAATCTCAGAAATAAATCTTGAGGGGATGGAGAAGGATAGTTTAAATTTTAATTCAGGGAAGAAGTATTTGCTAACAGGGAGACAACCATTGCATTATAATCATTACACAATAGTGTATATATTGACAAAAACATTAAGTGATCTTTGAAAAATCAATAATCTTTTTTTAAAGTAAGATTGGCTATTGTACACAAGGAAAGATGTTTTACGATCTGTTCCAAGCTCCATAATTTCAAAAAATAATGTTCCTTTAAAGAACTATATGGATCAACAAAAGTACAATTTGCAAACCACAGGAAATAATAGCACTATCATTTGAAAGTTTTCAGACAAAATCAAAACAGGTTAGAGAAGGATGGTGAAGAATATTCTTTCTATTCGGGTATATTAAGGAGGGATTTAAGCCTTCAAAGGCCTGAATAGGAACAACAAATGGTCACAAAGAACTTATCCTCCATAATGAATGTAGCAATTTTACCTAGATGTTGTGGGCAGCACCTTCCTCTCAATCTCAGAAATCCCAGAATTACATATCCCAACATAAATTTGGCCCCAGTACAGAAAATGCCATCCCTCAATTGAATAGTGACCAGATGTTGGTGACAGGTTTTCTACTATTTGATCGTGGACACGCTATACCTGGAACCCGGTACCCAGTTCTGAGTATTTCACTTTTTCTTTTCAGGAATACCGGAACAGGTCAAGGGAAAGTCAGCGAGTATGAACAAGAGATCAGAGCCTAACTTCTACATGGAGGAGCTAAAGGGAATAGGTATATTCACCTTTGAGAAAAGAAACTAAGAGGAAATATGATATCATTTTGGGAAAAACCTGAAGTACTATAGAAGGCAGCCAAGACATCATTATTCCAAAATCTTGGACATTAAATAAAAGATTTAAATTACAAGATGGCAGATTTCAATACTAATTACACGTTCGGAAATATCAGTTACCAGGGAAGATGGTAGGTTCTCGTTCAATAGATGACTTCAACTTGAAATTACAGAATCATTTATTTGAGACACTGGATTTGGGAAGCTGGATTCCTGCATTAATCTGGGATTTGGGCTCAATGGCCTCCTCCAATAGTAATACTTTTTGGATTAATTTCTAGGTTCTATAGTTAATTGGTTTAAATTCAAACTGTTCTCGTTTCCATCCAAGGCACTTCTTGGATAATTTACCATTCAGTGATTGTATATCCCATCCCTTTCTTCCAGTTGCTTGGGTTTACTGAATCTGGGATCTATCAGAAGTGGGACATGCCACATCTCCCATTTGCATAATGACTGCAACTCAGCACACACAATCTAAACAATTGGCACGGCACTGAAATGAGCTTACTTTTGTACTCCAGGTGAAATCCAGCAGCAGAGACACTGATGTCAGAGTAGAAGTGCAAATACAGCTGGTTAGAGGTACTGTTGAGCAAGGCAGGGACAGTGGTACCTAGTGGAAGGAGGGGGGGAGGCACAAGAGGAAGGAATCAGTCAGAGGGCATATTTTAGAGTGCTAGGAGAGGATCCTGTTCATGCCAATCTTGATATGCTGGCTGGGGAATTCTGGGAGTGAAGTCCACACATCTTCAGGTTGCCCAGGTTGTTCTAGGTGGATTTTAAAAGTATGAACATTTCATATAATTGAAAGCTTTGTCAATCCCTGCCAAGTAAAAATAAGTGGGAAGCACCATCTGGTGGAATCTGACACGGAGTCCCAGGTAGGAGGGGTTCTTTCCCTAGGAGCTAAAAGGTCTTGAATCCCTGGTATGCAGAAAGAGGCCCAGAAGGGACCCTCCCTTATGGTTCATATGGTATATTTGATAGTTATACAGAGTGTGTTTTAGTCTGGAATCCTTTCTATAGGCCAGGAACAATAAAAAAAACAAACCTAGATTCTTGTGCATAATGTATTGCAGCTTAATGTATGGCCCTAATCCTTTGTTAGAGGAGGGTAACCATAGAAAACCAGTCTGAGTAACTCACAGTGTCATTCTTCATTCCTTGCACCTAACATACTTGTGTCTGGTGTCTTCTTTTATATACCACTTACACTTTTCAAATACATCCAGTGGTGGGATCCAACTTTTTTTTACTACCAGTTCTGTGGGCGTGACTTGGGGGACGTAGCAGGGGAAGGATACTGTAAAATCTCCAGTCAGAGGTAGTATTTGCCGGTTCTCTGAACTACTCAAAATTTCCGCTACCAGTTCTCCAGAACAGGTCAGAACCTGCTGAATACCAGCTCTGGATACATCACTTGCCTTTTCTTATACCACATTGCAATCATGCAATTTGCTAGCAACTTTCTTTATGGAGCATTATTTGTTATGATTAGTCACCCTTTTGTTCCCTGCCTACCTAGCAGTCTCTATCTTTCTTGTTCACACATACTGACAAGGCTCTCTCCTTCATCCTGCAGGAATTTTTTTATTCAATACTTCCTGTTTCACAATTTCTTGTAAGACAAGCGAGGAATTCAATATGTGAAAGGACCGATCCTTCAAAGAACAGCTTGACACTGTGGTTTTTATACTTTGCCATTGTTACACATGTGACTAACATGGCTGTAATGAGACAAACAGCAGTTTACCGCACAATATTTGTGGCTGATTGTCTGAAGCTAAATTACACTAATGCTCTCTCTCCCTCCCTCCCTCCTTCCCCCCCTCTCTCTCACTCTCACACACACACACACAATAATCTCTCTCACAACACAATAATCTCACTCTAGAATTTAGAAATGTTATGGATCATTGGCATGAAGACAAATATCTAATTAAATTGTGTATGTAAACATCGACATCTCATGCATTAATACTATTTCCATTTTGTCATCTGAAGATTTTATGACTTTGTGAATTTTGGGAACTGAGGGTGAGGGTGAGGAAGGGGCATTCAGTTTGTCCATCCCAACTTCCCTGTGATCCCAGCTCTTCTTTCAAGTTGATTAAAGAACTGATTTTAGATGCTCAACTGAAGAACAGCAGTGTCAGTGCAAAGACTGGTTTTCTATCATTACCCTGCTCTGTTGGGCACAAATGATCGGGAACGTGCATGAAGCTGCAATTCAGAAAAATTTATTTCTCAAGTCTATGCACAAGAATCTAGTCAACTAAAGGGAAAATCTGAATGAATAAAGGTCGGTGGAATTCAAAAGGGGTTGGCCTTAGACCATTTGTGGCAATGTAAGGATTCTAAGCTGATGACACATTTAATTCTGCCCCCAACTCTGCCTGCTAGTCTCCTACAGTTCTGGATATTGGTTCCTTTCTCTTGAGAAAACTATCTTGGCAGCCAGCTCTGGTTTCAACCCTAAATATCGATGGATTTGATTTGACTTACCTAGTTGCCCATTTATGTGGGTGGCTTATAATAATTATTTATTGAAAATAAATACTTAATAAGTAAGCAGTTACATCCCTTTCTATGGTACCTTCAGATCTTACCTGAGAAGCTGCCCAGCATGGTGGCTGTATTGTCCCCTCCATCAAAGACTTCTAGGGAATCCCAGTTCTGTTCTGTAACAAAACTGATCACTTGAATCTGGAAACAGGGAAAAGGCCAGAGAAGGAAAACATATGTGATGGTGATGATAATAGTCACAATTACGATTAACATTACTACTGTTAGCAGTACCATTCAGAATTAAAGGTTACCAGTACTACTATAACAGTACCATTCAAAATGCAATCAGTAAACCAAATGTAATTTAATTTTTTATGGTAGATTCACAAACTTTGTATAACAAATTATTTTTACACAATTTATCAGTGTAAAAATCTCAGTGTGTCTATTTTATACTAAAGAGCTTTGAAATGCATTGAAGAACATTTTGAGGCCTCTTCTTTGATGCAGTTTTAATTAACATGGGGTTCCAAGTTTCACTGTTAATCCCATGGCAGCTGAGAGCCTGCCCATGAATACATCTTGTAATCTCCCTGCCATCACATATGGCTTAAGTCTGGTGGATGGGGTTCTCAGAACTATAGTGCAGAGGTTAACCAATCTCTCACAGCACAACCCAAATATCTGAAATCTGTCAGTTATGCTAGCTGGGAAATGTTTTCCCCAGAGACACCTGGTTAGGGAATTCTGTTTTAAACAGCCCAAACTAAGAGGTGAAATCTTTAATCCTAGATCTTGATCATACATACTTTCTTCTTGCAATGGTTTTTTTTTTTTTTTTAGTAAAATTGCATGCCACATAAAACATTTTTCATTTAATTATGATATCTGCCCTTTAGCCAGGATGGCATTTGGGAGGAATTTATCCCATGGAAATGCAAAATGTGTTTTTTACTGAAGGCAATAGGAAAAAAAAGTGATGTGTTTGGCAGGGTGACCATAAATAACTGCTTCTGACATTTTCAGTTGTTTTCCTCCTTAATTTGTCCTAAAGCCATTTTGTGAAAACTTTAAATCAAAACATAAATGAAACACAAAAGCCTTTGGATTCATCTCAACAAAATGCTAATAACCCCCACAGAGCCTTTACAAATTGCTCTGGAGTCTACATAATTACCCAACTTGTTTGATAATATATTAACAGCTTTACAGAGCAAAAGTTTTTTTTTTAAAGGAAGATAAAAACTAATATAAAGTAAGAAAAAGAACGAAAAAAGAAGGGCAAAAGTGCAAGAGTGGAAAAAAAAAAGAGAAAAAATTATCCAACTTGTAATGATTTCTGTATAATAGAACTGAAAGTTAGTTTTATTCTCCTTTTCATTCCTCACTTCTTTTTCAGAAGGGGTTTTTTTTTGTGGGGGGGTGGAATGAATGAAGGAATTCTAAAGTTGTAATTCTAAAATGATGTTGAAGATTTCAGGAATTGCAGTGTATATTTACTACCAGGCAGAATTGCTGCTTAGGAAATGAATAACTCATATAAAAAGTCATAGCTAGTGAACAGATTATATACAATCTCCCTGGTCATATACTGCCTATAGTCCACTTCTAAGAATGCTTTCATTCTTTCCAGCTCATCTGATTTGCCAGGATTAACCTGGAATACAAAACAGAAATCGATGAAAGTCTAATACAATCCAGATGTTATATGTTCAGTTGGCTATCATTAAAACACTCTGGTTATGTTTACAGCAGAGTTGCAGACAGCCAATTACACCTTAGACACACATGTTACACTGTCAATTCAGCTTAAGTGTCTGCACAGTTATATGAAGATCCTAGCATATGAATGAGGATCATTGTCCATGCAACATGTATGTCGCTTATGCTTATAAGGACCTACTTCATTCCTTTACAAACAGGTCAAACACCTTTCTTCAAGGCTGGGTTTCAGACAACACCTGTTTAAGCAGGTCAGTGACAGAGCTAGCAGTTACAAAGCCTGGTAAATATTAACCTCAGATAGTTTCTTTTTTCCCTGGTTTAAGATCTTGTATGAATCCAGGCTGCTTAGTTCAGTTTAGTTTAATAAGAAAAGGTAGAAATTCAGTAAGTACAGTGTTGTAACAATGCAGCTTTTATTGTGCATTACCAGTGCAAGATTTTCCAGAAAGCTTTCATGAAGTCATGGCTATCTTCACTAAGACATGTCATGCCATGATGTCATCATGATAATGATGCAAATGATATAATTTGCTTCAGTTGCATCTCATTTCTGTGATGACATAATGAAATGCATGGTTCTGTTCCAAACTTAGAATATTGAGAGAGTATATTTTTTCAAGAAGAGGGGTGGTGTGTGTGTGTGAAACTACATTTTCCTGAAATATACTTCTTCTTGTTAATATCATTAGCTTCAGTTTGTATGATCTATTAGCTTCTAAAGACATCCTAATTTAGATATTACATTCCAAGGAAATAGAGCAAAAACTGTATTAATAGCAGATTGGTTCTCCCAGTAGCTCCTTCTCCACCTCCACTGAAATTAACAAATGAATGGAATAAATTATCACCTTGATATCAAAAGTGTCAAATGTTTTGCAATACATTTAGCGGTTCTGCTAAAATAATCTTCCTTTTTCTCTTCCATGCTATGCTGTGAGAAATACCAATAACAAGATATACAATTCTCAAAAAATCCAGGTCAAAACTAAGTAAAATTAAAAAACGGATCTGTTAATCAATTTTGACACCCACAAAAAGATATGCCTTGTGAATTTGGAAGCTGCAAAATGGTCCTATTATGATGCTAATTGCTTTCTTCTCTTTTGCTAGGTTACTGAAGCAGAATGGGATTCTCTCTCTCTTTGATTTAAAATATAAGTTGTAAAAAACTGCAATTTGTATCCTGGAGTTGGATCAGACCTAATTGTTCCTACTAAAACACAAGAACTTTAGCAAACTTTTCAAAGGTTTTAAAGGGCCAGTTTTCCCTCTCTTTATATAAAGCTAAATACATTTCATTTGAAAAAGTTTTGTGTCAAGAAGATGCCAGTACTACTACTGTCTTTGAACTACATAGTCCTTAGCTAGGAAAGAGTTAATAAAAGGGGTTATTATATATCCCACTTTTTCCATAATAACTTTTCCCAACTTGAAGATTTCCAGATGATGTTTTTTTACTGTCGTAATTACCTAGTCAATTATATATGTGGAGTCCTAAAGGGCACCAAGCAGGGAAACGTCTGCTATCAGATCATTTCTTCCAGAGATGAAAGTATTCGTGGCTTTTATCTCAGAGAAACCTTTCTGAAGGTTCTGTGTTTTTCTTCAGGCATCGACTTTCATGTTTAGCAATCCTGGATGGCCACTAGCACTATTGAGCATAGTTAAATAAAATAGCTCGAAGACAATATACTGTACTCTTTCACCAAAAAAAAAAAGGATGGAAGGTAAGGGGTAGAAATGACTTTGAAGATCATCAAGCCCAATCTTTCCCCCAGGAAAGAAATCTATAGTCCTTGACTTATGACCACCATTGACTTATGACCACAATGACACACAATTGCTAAGCAAAGCAATTGTTAAGTGAGTTGTGCCCAATTTTATAACATTTTTAACCAAGCTTTTAAAGCAGTTGTTAATTAAATCATACAGTCATTAAGTGAATTTGGACTCCTCTATTGACTCTGCTTGTCAGAAGCTGGCTGGGAAGGTCACAAATGGTGAACAGACAAATCCATGATGCTTTAACTATTGTAAATACCTGATGGTTGCCAAGTGCCTGAATTTTTTACTGTGGGGATGCTGTAAGTACAGGGAGTAGTTATAAGTCACTTTTTGCAGTGCTATTGTAACTTCAAACAGTTGCTAAATGAATGGTTGTAAATCAAGGACAACCTGTATATCTGCTGCCCCCACACATCAGGGTTGGTGTAGAGAGCTTTATTCAGTCTGTTCCTCCAACAGTTCTATTTCAGGTTTTCAGTTAACCCCCTTAGCACAATAATTGGCTCATGACCAATTAGATAACCAAAAGCAAAACAAACTTACAGCCAAACCACAAACAGTCTTAGAAATAAAGATTTTGCTTGGGTAGGTTCCAAAAATAAACAGCCCAAATCCCATCTGAGGTCTGGGGCCTCCACTGAGGTTTGTCAACAAGTCCGGTGGTCCGGTTTCAGGGCTGGCAAGGAGAAGTCACAGGGATTGTCCAAGCCAGCAATTCAGGGGGTCATTTTCAGTGAAGCCAACCACGAACAAGCTCCAGACTAACCTTCCAGGCAATGGCCAATTAGTCCACCCGACAGATAACCGGCTGCTCCAAACACAAACACAAACACTCTCCACAACTGAATTAAAACCATGAGCTGCAGAGTCCTGGAAACACAAACAACCATCTGGCCACGACCCATACATGTTGCTTCCAGCAACACCACCCTTTGCCTGCCATGCTAAATAGCCCCTCCCGGTGCAGCCCATTAAGAGGACTCCCTATCAATCTGACAGATCTCCATCTCCCTGTCCTGCGTGCTCTAGCATTCACTAAGGCCAGTAGCTCCTTCCACTCGTCCTCATTGGCCTGTGAGCCAAGGCATGTTCTGCCAGTAGGGTCAGCAATACCAGACGTTCCAGGAATGCTCTCGTTCTCCCTCAAGGCCTCTGAGGAAGACGTGGATGATCCATCATCCACAGGAGAATATCATTCCCAGACCTGCAATCCTACATGACTTCTCCAGGCAGCTGGACCATTTTTGAACAATTGTTATCATTAGGAAAGTTTTTAGATGTCCAATAAAAACTTAAGTTCCTTGTAACTTTACTTATTGTTTCTTCTCCTGTTTTTTGAAACAACTATGAACAACTCTTTGAAGTAACTACTATGTTTCTCCACAATAGAATAGAATAGAACTTTATTATGGTCTTAGACCAGCAATAGACATCACTATTTACAATATAAAATATATATATAAAATACTGACACATTATAATACATTAATAGTGGATAAAGCATCTCTTAAGAAAATACATGTTCTCAAACAGTTAGGGGCACTCCCTGGTTTATATGAGTGGAGAGCCAATAAGTATGTGTGTAAATATCATTTTCCAAAGTTTGTTCTATCTCCAAAAATTGGCACAAATTGACAGCTATAATTCTGTAACCAATTTTTTTTCCAGTAGACATTGCAGCAACACAG